GGCAAATGGACAGAGGACACTAAGGAGATGGAGAAGTGAACAATTATCTGGCAAACAGACTGTAGTAGTGACCACGGGTGGTCACCCTCTCCACTCACGCTCACTGTCCCTGAGACACACACTTGCTCACACACTCTCATAGGCTGCTGCTGCCTCTGCCAGGCTGCTCAGAGCTAAAAATAGGCCAGGCCAGGAGGCTGGGCCGGGCTCTGGACTCCCACCCTCGAGCAAAGGCCAGCACAGTGCTTCTCCCCTGCCTGTCGCTCAACTTGAACCCCAGTCCCTCGAAAGCCCCTGCCTGTGGCTTCCCAGCGCCGTCCTCTCCACGCCACCCCCACTCCCCGCTCCAAAGGGCAGTAGTTGGGAAAAAAGGACCCAGGTGTGCGGACTTGCAGCCAGGGGAGCCTCAGCCTGCAGAGGGGACCACCCCTCTCCCCAAAGCCCCAGCCCTCTCAGTGTTCCCCAGCCCTTCGCGTTCTCACTCTCTGGGATCCAGTATACGCGCTTCTAGTTAGGAGAACACTGGGCGGGCTATTGCTCTTCTTTCCACTCCTACACCTACAACACCAGGCTCCCTCCATTACCCCCCTCTCCCTGGACCCCTCCCCAGCGACGGCGGGGACCCTTTGGCGCGGCGCCCCCGCAGAGCTCAGAAACCCGCAGGGTTGGCTGGGTGGAGGACCCCAGACTGGCGAAGGCCGAAGGCCGGAGGGGTCGTGTCCTCAGGCAGCCCCCTCCCCTGGGGCTGGGGAGGCAGAGAGCTACTCCGGTGGGGACGAGCTTCCAGGGGAGGCGCTCGTCCTTCTGTCCCTCTCCAAGAAGCAAGGGTAGGGACATGTGGCTCCCACAGTAGGGGAGGGGGTGGAAGACCCCCAAACTGAGCGCATCCGCCCTTAGAGGCGCACTGCTCAGGGAGGACCAGGCAGGGATCTCAGGTCAGACAGTCCTGGGGTCCCTTGTCCTTGGCTGGGTGAGTCCCTGCAGCCCCGCCCTGCTCCGCACCTGCTCCGCCGCCTCGGGGTCAAGGTGCGGCTCCAGCAGCGGGACCGTGAACTGGATCTTCCGAGGGCTGTTGTCCGGTTCCATGGTTGGGCGGTGGCCGCTGGCCCGCGCTGCGGCGGGGAAGGCGGCGGGACTCGGGGCTGGGGCAGGCATGCTCCATCTCAGCTCCGCTCCGCTCCGGCCCGGCCCCAGCCGGGCAGGGTTTAGGGCTGGGACTGTGGAGAGGCCTGCACAAGAGAGGAGGCAGCAAATGCGAAAGATTTCATTTCCTTTCATGAGAAAGGGGGTTGTCTCCTAAAGAAAAGCAGGAAAGGGGATTTGGGTATGCAGCAGGAAGGATTAAGGCTAGACGTGGAGAGGGACTTTCCCCTGAGAGAAGACATTAGGGCGCAGGTGGAAACTTGGAGCAGAGGTGTGGGTCTGGGCACAGGTCCTGTGCTCCCTGGGTGGCAGGGAGGGGGACTGAACACCTAGGGTCTCCAGAGACCAGAGCCTCTTCTCCAAGTGCTGATGGCAGTGGGTGCAGGGCCCAGGGAGAGAGGACCATCTGGGACTCAGCAGAAGGAGTAACGGGGGTGGTGAGCCAAGAGTGCTTGTGAAACAGATTTCTGTTTCTGCTTGCTAAACTATGGGGATGGAAAAGCAGGTGAAAGGCCTGCAAGAAGAGGATGCTGGGGAATGGAGAGGGAAACTCCTTGGTGGGGTGGCTTGCTTACAGATGGCCTGGGTTTCCACTTCCACTATTGGCAGAATATGAAATAATCTGCTGTAACTAAAGGGATGGGGGTTAGACTATGTGAAGAACTTACTAGTTTGATGTAGGGCCAGGATGTCAATCAATACTAGAGAGTAAAGGAGATAGAATATTCATAGGAGCTGTGGGCGCTATGCCAGGTCTGGGGGCCACTGGATAGACAGAGGAGAGGTGCCAGGGCACTGGGGAGGGGAGGGCTGGACATTTTGGGAGGGAGCGCTGAAGTGGGTAGGAGAAGGACTGGGTTGGGGAGGACAAGGGACAGGGAATTCTGAGGGAAGGTCCCAGCAGGGACCAGGGCCAGTGATCTGTTTCTGTCGCTTTAAACTGAGCAACTGGAAAGTCCCATGCAATCCATGCCTGCTTCTCTGGGGACCCCATGGTCAGCCTCTCCTGTAACTCGTCAGCCGTAACCCTCAGTTGCTTCTTCTCCCAGGCAGCCCTTCTTTGGCCTGGATTTCACATGGCCCCTTCCCGTGTTACCTCCCCAAATAACCTCCTTTGCCCCCTTCCACCCCCAGCCATATCACTTCACACATGCCAGGCCCAGCTCAGTTTTCTCAGGGCAGTGCTGGGGTTATAGGGGCCCAGTGAGCCAACCAGACCTCCAAGTGCCGTAACTAGCTCTGTTTTGCAGTCATTTGGACGCCAGGACCCCCTACACCCAGCCTGCATTTGCAGGGTTCCCTTGCTCTCTCTTTGATGTAGTAGGGCCGGCCTAGAAAACTGCTGATTGGAGTCCTCAGCCCCTTTTCTGGTCAATTCCTACACACTCCCTAGAAGTGACAGCAGAGGGAGGGTGTGTGAGGCAAGAAGCCAAGAGAAAGATGGAATGGGAGATACAGGTGCTCGCTCTGACTTCCTTTGCACTCACGCACCTCCTAAGCACACATGCACAGAGCAGGGTCCAAAGTATACTATATAATAAAAGTGTAATGTGCAAATCAACCAAACGGTGGAACGTCCTGTCTGTGTGTGTGTGTAGGGGGGCAGGGCTGGTGAGCAGGCGGTGCCAGCGAGCAGAGGTAGGGGATGGTGGAGGGTGGTGGTGGTGGTGGCGACCAGCAGCAGTGGAGGGGAGATGGGGGGCTGGGGCTGGCCGGTGCTGTCCCCAGATCACCCACTGGTAGCCTACCACAGAAGGAGACCAGACTGCAGCTTAGGCCAGTTCCCCACAGGGAGGGGGCCTAAGCCATCAGTCAGACATCCCCTGAGTGCTCCTGGACTGCAAGAAGGCACAGGCCGGGCTGAGGGACCCCCCAACCCCCTTCCCCAGCACCACTGCTGAGTGCACGAATTTTCATGCACCAGGCCTCTATAGTCCCTTAATAAATAACTTGTCTATTCCCTACCCCTTCCATCAGGATCCTGGAACTTGAATTTCCACACCCTTATCTCTGGGGCCTCGATTTCCTCATTTGTGCAATGGGCAGAAGAGTCCCTACCTGTTAGGGTTGAGTATCCTATGAGGTAAGGTATCTGGCACATGGAGCCCTCAACAAATTAATAGCTGCTGTTTTTCTTGTCTCGTTATCTCCTAGAAGGGCAGCGGAGTTAGGAGAGAGACCTTGCCAGGCTCTCATGAGACCTTCCACTCCCGCCCCAGTCATCCAGTTTGCCTAGGCCTCTTTCAGAGTCCCTTCGTCCTCTCACATTCGGCCTGGCCATGGAAATTCCTCCCAAAGTCTCATAACATCCTTCATGTTGCTTTCTCAAGCTCCAGAGTCTCAAGCTCTCTTCTCCAAAAGCTGTAGGTCAGGAGAGGGGTCCAGAGAGCTCAGGCTTTGGAGAGATGGCTGATGGAGGACTGCGTGGAAAGAGGGGTCCCCGGAGCAGCTGGTGCTGGGGTGGAAGCGGAGGAGGAGAGAGCAGGGAGAGGGAGGAGAGACAGCTCTTGGTACTGGCTTCTGGAGGAGACTGTGGGGAGGGGGGGGTGGTAAAGCGTTTATGGGTAGCGGGGAGATGGCATGTGACTGGCTTGCAACCTTTGGTGCTGGGGTCTCCACGTGAGCTGCCATGGGTCTGTCTGTGAAGGTGTGAGTATGTCGTTTTGACTTTTTTATGCTAAGAGCTGAGTGAGTGTCTTTTGGGCTTGTGGGTGGAAAAGGTGTGGGTTGCTCACCCACAGGGCCGGGGAGTTGCAGAGCACACCATGCCTGCTCCTGGAGCCCTTTCTGGAATGAGTAAGAGTTAGAGCCCACCTTTCCCAGCCCCTTCCCCCAGCTTGCACGGGCCTGTGCAAGGTGTGCTTGCGTGTGCAAGCGTTCACGTCCCTGCTGCAGCTACAGCCCCTGCCGGGGGAGCAGTAGCTGTTCTGTATGGTACACTTCTGGATCCATGAAATACTCAAGGTTACAGGGAGGTGACTCAATGGTGCAGTCATTTAACAGCTCCCACCTGCCCCTACCCTCGGAGCTGGACCCTGGGTTAATAGGCTGCTCCTGTTGCTCTCAGCACTTTCTGCTTTTATTTATCTATCCTCCCCACCCCCGCAGCCGTCTCATGCATTATCACTAATCCTCACAACCCACCAGGAGGGAGGGCAGGTAGTATGATCTTTATTTTGCTTTTCAAGGGCAGAGCCCTGGAGAAAGGTCATACTGGATGGGCCGCCTGGATTGGTATTTGGGAGGTCAGAGTTCAATTTCTCCCTCTGCTACCAACTGTCCGGGCCACTCTGGGGTGGTCACTCCCTCCCACCCCCAACACACACACACACACACACACACACACACACACACACACACACGTCTCCGTTTCCTCTCTTGTAAAAAGTGGGAGCCAGAGGACTGCACGGGCTTCTTCCTGTTCTAATAATTTGCATTCTGAGTAGGGAGCTCCAGTCTCATAGGTAGGAAGTCTCAGAACCAGGATGAGACCCCAGGAGTCTGGGCCCT